GTAAATCATAAGGAACTTGGATTAGGCGATGATTTCTTAGGACACCAAAGTCATCACCAAAGGGAAAAATAGATAAATTGGACTTTATGAAAATGAACTTTCCCGCTTCAAACGACACCACCAAGAAAATGAAAAGACAACTCGCGGAATGAGAGAAAATCTTTGCAAGTCTTCTACCTAATAAGGAACTTGTATCTAGAATATACTATAATGCCTTACGACTGCATGTTAAGACAACTAACCCAGTTAAAAAATGGGCGAAGGATCCAAATAGACATTTCTCCAAAGAAGATACATAATGGACAATGAACACAAGCAAAGATGTTCAACATTATTAGCCATCGGGGATGTGCAAATCGAAATCACAATGAGATGCCACTTTGCGCCCACTAGGATGGATGGCTAGCGTCAAAAAGTCAGATAATAATGAGTGTGGTGAGAATGTGGAGAACTTGGAATCCTACACCACTGGTGGTAAAATGGTGCAGCCACTTTGGAGAACAGTCTGGCCATGCCTCAAACGTTAAACACAGAGTTACCATGTGACCCAGCAATTCCGCCCCTAGGTGTAGACCTAAGACAACTGAAAACGGATGTTTACACAGAAACTTTAATGAATGTTCGCAGCAGCATTATTGATAACCAAAAAGTGGGACAAACTCAAATACGCATCAGCTGAGGAGTAAACAGTATGTGGTGGGGAGGGGTACACGGGGTGCAGCAGCATCAGAGCTGGCATATTACACACTGGCATATTACTTGGTCATGAAAAGGAATGGAGCACTGACACGTGCTCCAGCGTAAGGGACCTTGAGAACATCGCGCTCAATGAAAGAAGTGTCACCTAAGGCACATCGCATCATTCCGCTTATATGAAACGTCCAGAATAGGAATCTGTAGAGACGAAAGTCGATTACGGTTGCCTAGGCCTGGGGGGCTTGAGGAAAAACGGGGAGTGATTGCTATGGGCCGGAGTTTCTTTTTGGAGTAATGAAAATGCTCTAAACTTGCTTGTGGCTGCACGAGTCTGCAATTACAGATTGCATCTTATGCTTTAAATAGGTGAACTGTATGGCATGTGAGTTTTATCTCGATAGAGTTGTTAATAAAAACGAAGAACAAAATGACAGCCGCCGACTTGGGAAGTCAGCCAGCTGGTGGCAGATTTGCTCGGTGATCAGACCACTAAGGCTGGTGCCACCCATTCCTCCTTAGTAGCCAGCATGTGCCATGATCCTAAGACCGATATCGCCTGATCCTTCTTGTAACCAGCACGACCCAAGCGAGCTCTTCCCCAAGCTCTAGACGGGACCAGTGGTTCGCTTTGCCCAACAAGACTTTGCCTGAACAGTGCAGCGATTCTTAAGAAAGCAACACGTTCAGCTTTCTGATTTCAGGTACTAAGCGATGTGTCTGTTCTTTGATACTTCTATTCATTCATTCGTTCATTTAAAAAAATCTTTACTGAGTGTCTACGACTGCCAGGCTCGGTTAGAGGTGCTAGGGATACAGCAGTGAACACGACAGGCCCAACACCTGCGCGGCCGTGGACAGCATACGTTCTCGTGACAAACCAGCAGGGGCACGTAAAGTAGCCACCGTGTCTGGTGGTCCGAATGCCGTGGAAGGAAAGGAGGGGACGCGGGGGTGGGCGGGCGCCGCTCTGGCTCTGTGTGCAGGGAAGGCCTCACACAGCAGGCGCCTATGGGGAAGTGAGGAGCCCCCCGCGTACCCTCTATGCTGAGGTGGGGGGACCGCACCCACGAAGTCAGTGAGGCTGGCAAGGACGCGTGAGGCGATCAGACCCGGGTAGCAGCCTCTTGGCTCTGCAAAGGGCTCTGAGCGGAGGGACGCATTCTGACGCACATCTAAAAGGCGCGCTCCGGCTGCCGTGGGGCTGTTACAGCACGTGGGCAGGGACCAGAGAGCTGTTTGAGGGACACAGCCCAGTGCCCAGGGCAGGCCCACCATATAGTGGAAAGTCAGTATGCGTTTGTGGAACCTCCCACTGGGGGGCACTGTCCGGAACTCAGCTTAGAGGCGCCCCAGTGCCTAGGTCGCTCGGGCAGAGGGCGCCCGATTGCTGTGCAGGTGGTTCCCCCCACCCCCCACCCTGCCAGATGCTGTGGGGCTGGCGGCCTGGGCAGGTGGGGGGTTTGCAAACACCCAGGTGTGCCTCGTACAGGCTCTGATGCTGCTGTACCCCGTGTACCCCTCCCCACCAGTGCTTCCTTGGCAGGATAAGAGGGAGCAGCGGGTGCTCAGGCCTCCACATTCCACACCCTCTAAGCTTCCAGGTCCTTCTGAGCTTATGGTCTGCACTCACTGACCTCCAGATCGCCTCCTCTGTGCCCCCTCCCCCGCAGGTCTGTCTCTGTTCCTCCGGCTGACACCCGGCTGCTCTCTTACCTGTGTCCCCTCTTCTCTGTGAGCCCTCCTCCCTGTTTGCCATACGCCACAGCCATAGCCCGGGAACTCCGAGGCCCAGAGGAAGTAGTGGGCTCTGTCTTGCTCGCCCTGCCTGGAGAAGCCACTGTCCCTCCCGTCAGGCACCTGGTGGATGGGGAGGGGTCCCGCAGTGGCACCCCGGGGCACTCACCCACGCAGTCCTTCCGGTTCCAGTGGAGCCGCCTCCCCGGGGGGCAGATGCATTCGTAGCTGCCCTTGGTGTTGACGCAGCCCTGGTCACAGCTCCCGTTGTTCATGCTGCACTCATCCACATCTGGAAGCGCAGGCGGGCGTCATGGCAGGAGGGGGCTGGCCCAGGCCACACCCTCAGGGCTGGCAGGGCAGGGCCCACCCAGGACAGGAGGGCCAAGAATCCCCCGGCCCTAATCTGATACTGTCACATGCGGCCTCACACAACACACACTCGAGCACGCGTGCACACACATGTGTGTGCACATGAGGCTCGCACAGACACCAACACACATCCCTCCGGCCCAGACTGGGGGCAGGACAGAGGAGTGGCACAAGATCAAAGTTCCCATCGGCTCTTTTGGGGCAGGGAGTGAGCACTGGCCCAGGGACCACGCGCCTTATCTCACTGAGGGACTCTGGGCGACCCCTTCCCAGCCGCTTCCCTCCTATACGACAGGCACCCAGCTGAAAGGAGTCACCTGTAAGGCCCTTCCCTCCGGCCACCAAAGACCCAAGCACATGCGGTGACCGGGGCAAAGGGCGGGGCCTCCATCAGGACTGAGCACCCGGGCCACCGGCATTCGGGGTGGCAGGCCCAGGGAAGCCGGCGCCCATATTTGGAGGGGTTCCTCCAGGGGAATCTGCAGCTCACCCCAGGTGCTACCCCCAACACCAGCTATGCCTGATCACTTCGCTGCCTGACCCCATCGGGCCTTCACAGCCACCCAGCAGACATCCCAGGTCACAAGAAAGGAAGAGACACTCAGGACCGAGCGGCCATGCCCGGCAACTCCACCTCCACCGCCGGCCCCAACGTCCCCAAGTCCCATCCTGTGTGGCTCCTAAATACATCTAGAACCTTCTCCTTCTCTGCATCTCTCCCCACCCTGCTGGAGCTCCAGCAGCTCGCATGCCCGGGGCCGTCTCCGGGTGCCATCAGGGTGGCGAGAGCGGTCTCCTTACACGAACTTGGCCATGTCGCAACCCCGCTTAAAGCCTCCAGCGGTTTCGCATCTTACCGGGAAGAAAACGCCAAGTCCCCTGTGGGGCTCACGACGCCCTGCGTCCTCCCCGCCTGCATCTCCCTCCATGGCCACGGGCTCCAGTCGCACTGGCCGCCTCGGTGCCTCCGAGCGCCCACGGCTCAGCGCCCTTCACACGCTGACCCCTCCGGCGGGCTTCCCCGCGTCTTGACTCAAACGCTCCACCCTTAGGGTCCCCCCACCGTCTCCCTACTCTGCTCTTCTCTGTTGCCACCCTCTCCCACTGGAATGAACTGTCTGTGGGATTCTCTGTGTAGTGGCCCCCCTCCCCCACTTCTGGACTGAGGTCCCCCGCAACCGCTGATTCCAGGCCTATGCCCACCACCTGGCTGAGGCCCGGTGCTCGGGGGGTACTTGCTGGCCCCTCCCCGTCTTCCTGCCTTGCCCTTGGCCGAGTCCCTCTGCCCACCCGTCACCAGACTTGCTTAGGTCTCTTCCAGGCCTGTTAAGAGTCAGGGTCAGGGTTGGGGTGTGGGGTGCAGTGTAGGTGGCCGTGCGGCCAGGCGCGTGCCTCGGGGGGAAGGTGGCCCTGGTGGGCGGGCTGCAGACCTCCGCAGTGGGTTGTCCCATAGAGTATGTAGCCGCGGTGACACAGGCACTGGAAGCTGCCCGGGGAGTTGATGCAGATGTGGTCACAGGTCCGCTCGAAGGAGCACTCGTCGATGTCTGTGTGGCCAGAGGGAGAGAAAGTTTGGGGAGTTTTGGGTGGGGGGGCACAGCCTGTCACTCAGTCACTTAACGAATGTTAGTGCATAGACAGCCCCTGGGCCCCGGGCTTATAGTGCACAGCTGGTCCACTTCCTGTCGCTGCCCGATGTCACTGTGTCTCCATTAACCCCATGTTTCTGGGTTAGAAACCACCTCGCATATGTTCTGGAGGTGGGTCGGGTAGAAATATTTTGAATAGAAGGGATTATTACAAATCTGTCATTTTAATATTTCATTCAACTGTGATCAGGATTGGTTTTTAATCCATACCTGCAGGAAATTGGCAGGGGCTTGCCTGGGGAAGCAGCTGAACTGGGACATGAAACCAGGCCTCTCGGGTACTGATCAAAGTATGTTTTCCCATCACCCCAAGATGTCTCTTGAGAAAATAAGAAAAAAAGGACAAATAGAAGGCGGGGGGAGGGGGAGAAATATGCTACCCATAGGGATAACAAGGTAACCTTGATAGTATGTGAAATTTTATTGAGCTTCCTGGAAGCCAGGGTAAAAAGGGAAAGGGGGAGAGTTACAGAGTGGTATTACCAGAAAGGAGGAAAAAACCACATGCTCAGAGGAGATAAGTCTGTCCTGGCCATAAATTCTGAGGAAGATGATCCCCATGGGACAGCTGATGGTGGCTCCCATCTCTATGGGCACTGTAGTTGGAGTTCATTCTCTGACTATATCAGCTCATGTGACTACACATGTATTCATATGTGTGTGTGTTTGCAATAACACTAACACAAGGAAGGACTTGTGCTGTGGGTGCTCAATGGATGGGATTCTTCTTGGGTGTGGGAAGATCTCCTGGTTCTTGTGGCACCTAGGCTGGACTTTGAAGGATGGGGCCAGCTTGGAATGAAGGAGAGTGGGGGAGGGTACTGCCAGCAAAGGCTGGAAGGTGGCAGCAAGAGGTGCCCAGGGGATTGTGTGGAGCTCAGGGGGCTGAGGCGGGGTGTCTGGGGTCCCCATCCCAAGGGTTCTGAGTGCCAAACAAGGGAGCTTAGATGCCTCCCTGCTGGAGCTGGGGAGCCCAGGGTGGTGTTGGAGCAGGGGTGGGGCACGGCCAGAGCCCCAGGGCCTCAGAGATGAGCCTGGAGGATGGAGAAGCAGCAGCCGGAGGCCAGGAGCAGACACATCGTTGCCTCCTCCTTGGCAGCTGCCCTCTCTCACAGGGCAGCGGAGGATGCAAGGTCAAGGGCCCTCCCTCAGCCCTCCACAGAAGGCAGCAAGGCAGACGGGGAAACGAAGTCAAACAAAGAGTGGAGGGGCCTTAATGGGACCTGGACAGATGCTGTGCTCTCTGCAGAGGAAGATGCTGGCCCGGGTCACATGGCGAGCCCCGGGACAGGCTGGCCCGGGTCACACGGTGGGCCCCGGGACAGGCTGGCCTTGGACCCTCCGGTACTGGCCTCCTGCTCCTGCTTCCTCTCAGGACCACACCCCTTGCCCCTCAGGGCCTTTGAGCCGCGCTGGCAGGTGGAAGCTGCACGCCCTATGGCTGGGCTCGGCCACGTGCAGCCTGCAACTACTGGAACCCTGTGGAAACGAGGTGGCTAGCCCATGACTGTCGTCAGTGATGGCACTGGCCCACTCCTCCATCACACAGGCGTCCCTGGCCCCTCTCTCTGCACTTGTCCCCAAAGCTGGCCCCACAGGGCTCTTCACGGTCCCCCAAACTCCCTCAGCCCAACAGTGCCACTGCCTGGGTGCGTTTGTCTCCTTGGCTGCTCCTGGAAAATGCCTATTCATCCTTCAAGCATTTCGCCGGGGCCCCTCCCCAGGCGGTCTTTCCTGACCACTCTCTCCACTGCCCATCCTGTGGGTGACCGCTGCATCCTGGATGTCTGCTGGACTTGTCCGGGGCTCTGACATTTGGCTTCTGCCCAGACGTCCTCCCATCACCCCTGCTTCTAGCAGGCGCCCCAGGACCCTAAGGAAGGGCTGTTGGAGAGCACCTGCAATGTGTGGCTCCTTCCACCAGGTGGCAGCATTCTACCTCCAAAGCCGCTGAAGGCGGCGGGGATGGGAGGGGTGGGGGGGGCGGGACAGGGATGATGCGCTCTGCCACCAGCTGGCTGTGCCACTTGGGATATCTGCTGATCCCTCCCTGGGCCTCAGTTTCCCATCCATAAAAGGGACAGGTTGGACTGAATGGCTTCTGAGGGCCCCTAGAGTCATAAAGGACAAAGAAGACAGGGAGGGCAGGAGCACATGCTAATAACCCCCAAACTGACCCGTTCCCTCAGGCCCAGCCTGGCAGGTGGACGGACCCTGCCCCCACGCTCACCTCCTCTCCTAAGAGCCTGTAAAAGTCCCCTGGGTGTCCCGTGTTCCCCAGAGCCTGATCCTACCAGGACCCAATGAGGACAGGGAGGACCCGGGCCTGAGGGCTGTCCGGGGCACAGAGAAGGCTCACCTTGGCACGTCCGCTCATCGGTCAGCAGCTTGTAGCCCTTGCGGCAGCCGCACTCGAAGCTGCCCACGGTGTTGCGACAGAAGTGGTCACAGCCCGCGTTGTTGACCAGGCACTCGTTGATGTCTGTGGGAGCCAAGCGGGAGGGGGCGAGGAGAATGGGCATGGGCCGCAAGGTGGGGACCACGGCCCAGCACCTACCCTTCCCTGACTTGCCTGCCTCTCACTGCCCAGGGCTGAGCTCAGGTCCCCCAACTGAGCCCAGGGGTGGGGGCGTGGCTCACAGCGGTGGGATCAGGAGGATGGGTGATGTCACTTCCCCCCGGGGACTCAGGGAGCCTGGCATTCACGGCACAGAAGGGGGAGGAACGAGGTCTGCTGTGACAGGGAAGACGACGGGGACAATGGCGTCCACCACGTCCTTTCTTCAGCACATTCAGGGCAGCGGCCCGGAGGGCAGCGAGGCCCGGGCCCCGCAGGCTGCTTCCCAATGGCTGTGACCTTGAGCCAGCTGCTGGACCCCACAAGCCTTGACTCTCGGTCTGGCGGACAAGCATCAGAAGCACACCTCCATGGAAGAACACTTCCCGGGGAGCTGGTGCTTAGTCGGTGCTCAACCAACTCTTCAAATTCGGTTTACGGCCCCTGTTTACTGATGGGGAGACTGAGGCTCAGAGGGGTAACCTTCCATCTGCTTGCAGATGCAGCAGCCGGTAGCGGGAAGCGGGGTGTTCGCGAGCCTGGCCTCCCAGCCTGGTTCTTCCTGCTACCCCACCCCAACTCCCGCCTGCTGGTTTGAGCCGCCTCTTCACTCAGCATTTAACGAATTGCGGTGGTACTCTGAAGGTCACCTGGCCGGATCCCATGTCATAAGTGGGTCCCTTCCGAGTGTCACAGACAGTCGGTGTCTGCCAGCACACCTCCAGCAATGGCAGTAACGGCAGCTTTTGCCCTCACAGCGTGACCTGTTGGTTGATGCAACCCGAACTCCTCCCCGACCCCTGTGAGCCCCTCCCACTCCCTGGCCCTGCTCTGGGCTTTGCCCTTGGCCCAGGCCAGGCTGGCAGGCTGTCATCAGAGATCCTGTCCCTGAGATGCCTCTTCTTACTACAAATTTCCTCTTAGGCCCCAATCTCCAGGCTCCCCATGCTGGTCACCCCTCCTCCAGACATGACCCAGCAATTAGTAACAGAAGTAAGAGATGACTTTCAGGATGGGGCTCTCACCCTGATTTGAGGGGTTGACAAGGAAGCGACGGAAGAGGCCCACACAGCAAGGACTGCGGAAAGCACTTCTCCACCCTGGCCTCTGGCCACATGCCACCTCCGGTGCCAGAGCCCGTTGGGCCTGGCCTGAGCGTGAGGGTCCAGGCGCCCCTGTCCTGTGCACCAAGTACCTCTCTGTGAGAAAGGTCAGCCAGCCCCACGGAGGAGCCTGGTCCTCTCCCAGCGACTCCGGTCTCGGGCTGAGCCCCTCAGATGCTGCCCTAGCTGCTTTCTGCAAACCAAACAGGCTGAACTTGACACCTGCTGACAGTCCTAAAGCAGCGTTCCCACGGATCGTCCCAACAAACAACGAAAGCCAGGTCTGTGGTCAAGTTCATGAGGAGAGCGGGGTGGTTTAAAGAGCGAGGCCGAGACCCCTTGCAGGCAATTCTGGGGCCTCTGGGAGTGAACAGCACAGGAGTCTGGCAGGGGCAGACCCCAAAGGCCCCGGGGGGACTGGGGAACACAGGACACCCAGTGGGTATGCCCTTGGCTGACCTCCCAGAAGCACCTACACCCCAAAGACTTGTTCTGTCTGCATGTTCAGGTGATTCTGGCACAAGGAGGGTGGTAAGGGAGGGGGATCTGAGGGAGGCAGCTGGGGGGCGTTCAGTTCACCAGCCCTGACTCTAGCCCCTGGCTCTGCCACCACCATCGGCTAGGGAACTTTGCCCCTCTGAATACAGTAGGTGCTCTGCATGTCCATACTAAACGATGACTAAAATCAATGACTTCTCAGCTCTGGGAACTCTGAACGTTCTGAAGCCCAAGTTCCAGGAGCAGAGCCACCTGAGGGTGCGCGGTAAGGGTAAGCGGTAGGGCCCTAGGGTGGTCACTGCGCCTCTGGGCACCGCCTCGTCCTGGTGACCATGGTGACCAGGCCAAGCACGTTCCAGCAAGGTCTCGTGTGGTCTTCCAAATAGCAGGGGGACCAGATCTCCCATTCCCAGAGGAGGGCACGGCTGCACGTGGGAGCAGGTTTGAGCCTAGCTCCAGCCGTCCCTAGAGGGCCCTTCTCCAGCGCACCACGCTGGCCCCGTGGCCTCCGGAGAAAGCAGACGTGACGTCCAGTGAGAGTCTGTCCAGGGACAGTCCCTGCATCTCCACTGTCCCCTCCCCTGGGGATTATGGGAGATAAGGGAATTTCAGGCTAGAAGCCTCTGGCAGGAGGGCAGAGGCCAGTCTCAGTTCTGCCCCAGCCGGCTGTGTGATCCTGGCGGGGAAGGCACCTCTCTGAGCCTCTGGTCCGCTGTCTGCAAACCGGGCTGCTGACAGGCGCCTCTCACGGCATCACTGGCAAGACCGTATGCAGATGGGCTTGCCTCCTCAGGAAGGCCTCAGGCCTTCCGGAACCCCCGATCTCATCCCTTCCCCATCTGGGCCTGTTAGCGAAGGGGCTGTCATAGCAACCAGACAGGCGGCGGGAGGCATGTTTGCTGGAGGCCCAGGCTGGTGGAGCGGGCCGCCTGTGGGGCAGAGGGGGAAACAGCCACCAACCAGCTCCGGCCCAGGATGTAGGACGGTGTGCTGGGCTCACACAGCCCCTCGACCTTCAGTCTGATGCAGTCATCGCGGGGGTGCAGCTCCCTTTGCACTTCCTGCCCCTCTAAGACTCCCCGCCTTTTCCACTGTGCTCCCACCCACCCTTCACCAGGCAGCCAGAAGTCCCCTACCTGTTCACAAGTCTTCACACGTGGCCTCCTGCTGTCCCAGAGTAAAGGCCCAGCCCCTTTTGCAAAGGCTCGCGGCCCCCCCTTTGCAGCCTGGGCCCGGCCGCCTTGCCTCCTCTTCCTGCACGCTGGGCTCCTGCCGTGGCGGCCCAGACTCCGGCCGCCTCACCGGGCGCGGCCTCCACTCTAGCTGGCCCGGGAACAAGTGCCCCTCTGGAGGCCTGCCCTGACATCCTCTCCAGAATAGGCTGCTCTCCCTTGCACTGGACCTGCCCTCAGGGCGATCAGAGGGCCTCAGGGACAGACGGGGATAGCTGGGTCCTGTCTGCCGCCCCAGGGCCCGGCATGAGGCCTGCGCAGAGTGGCTGCTCAGGACTGATCACTGAATTGATGGGTATGCGAGTGAGTGAACGGATGAGTTAGGGCGGCTGAGGGAAGGGCGGGGTCTTGGGCTACTGCACTGAACATTAAAATGCATCAGTCCGCGTTCTAGCAACAGTGCATGGGGCAGGGAGGGGCACAGCCTAGCAACCCACGGGCCATGCGAGGGAGCGGAAGGAGGGCCTGGGCGAATGCGCCTAGCGGGGAGGGCAAGCTGCTGGGCTGGGCTGGCCTGGCAGAAGGCAGGTGAGGGAGAAGAGGAAACAGGCTATGGGTGGGGGTCTCCCAGACCGTTCTGGAAGGTGCGGGGAGGAGTGGCTGGTGCGCCTGACGAAACCCGGGCTCCAGCTCAGGGAGTCAAGGCCCCAGACCTCCCTCCTCTCAGAAGGACCCACAGCGGGTGCCCACCTCCCAGTATCAAGTGGGTGCAGCAACAAACAGGGAGCCTTGAGATGGGACCTCTGCACTGTCCCCACTCCTGAAAGAAAGTGAGGGTTTGGGGCAAATCCTCCAGACAGCCCCACTTTCCCGCGCCCGCCTCCACGTGCCCATGTGACCCCTTGGTGCAGGGGTTTCGGCTCTGGGCTCCCGAGCCCTCTGCTGCCTCGACCCTCCAGCCCTCGGTCCTACGTGACAATAACTTTTTGGCTTCCAGAACTGAACTTTTGAAGTCACTCTGACGGCCTCCTCCAGGCCCCTGCCAAGACCAGAGTGTGCACGCTGACTGAGGAGCTGACACCCTGGGGCCAGGGTCTCGGCTTCGCGGGGAACCCCAAGCCCTTGACCCGCGCCTCTCTAGCCGGAGCCCGGCCCGGGGAACTCGGGCTCTGAGACACCGGACCCTGGGGTTTGGAGGCCCGCGTTTGGTTGAAGGGTTCCGGTTTGGAGATGTTATGACGTTTGTATCGCACAGTGTCAGACCAGCCTGGCCCCTCCCCCGGTCCTTAAATCCTAATGTCACGACAACACCGCCCTTCTTCGCCTCCACTGCCACCCCGGCCCAAGCCAGTGTCATCACGAGCCTGGGTGATGGCAGCCGCTGCGCCACTGCTCTTCCGGACCCTGCCCAGAGACCCCCGTCCGAGTGGCAGCCGGGGATCGGCTCAGACGAACACCTGCGTCTGTGCCGCTCCTGCCCAGGAGCTTCTGGAGCCTCACCGAGGCTGGAAAATGAAAGGCCAACCCCCTCCCGGGCCCACAGGCCCAGCGCCATCGGGCCCGGTGTCTCGGCACACGGGCCACCTTTGGGTCCCCGAAACCCGGGCCTCTGCAAGGCAGTCACGTGCTGCTGGAAGGGCCGCCTTGATCAAGCCCTCTCCCCTGCGCCCAGGCCAGGCCTGCGCCCCGCTCTCCTGCCATGCTGTCCTTCTCTGTCTGGCGCCAAGCAGTCTGTGACACACGTTTACCCCAGTGATTTAAAAAAATGAAAATCTGTCTTCTACGCTCGATAGAAGATTCCCAGAAACAGGGATTGTTTCGTTCACCTGAATCCCCAGCACCCACACACGGGAGGAGCCCAGAAACCCATCTGGAGTGGGAGTGAGCGAGGGGTTTGTCTCAGGGTAAAGGGCCGAGCAGGCAAAGCTCCGGAAAAGGCCCCAACTGTCTCGAGAGGAGCCACCGGAAATGCGGTGGGGGCCTTGGACTGATGGGCCTGGGGCTGCACGGACAGCTCCCTTCAGCACCTCCTGTAGACGCGAGGTGGGGTGGAGACAGATGCCCCTGGGGGCAGCAGTCAGAGCCACCTCTCTGGTGCTCCTCTGGGGTCCTTAGCTGGGGCCACTTTCTGGCCCAGACAGGTTGGCTCCCAGTGAACCCCTGGCCTCCCCTCAGGAACCGAGCCGTACCCTCTGGTCCTCAGGTCACTGCTGCACCTTGGAGCGGGGGCGGAGTGGCCTGATCCCACCCTCTCCTGTACGGGCTCCAAGGGCAAACGGCCAGGCCTGCTGTGACGCTGCTGGGCTGTGAGGATGGCCGTGACTGTGGTGCACCCTTGGCTGTCTTCCTGGCATCGAGTTCATGTGGCGAGGCCTCAGACACCACTCGCCTGCCCACCTGCCCGCTAGGAATGTACTTGGCTCTGAACGGGCTGAGCGGGGGCTACAGAAGGGCTTTATTTTCAAATAAACAAGTGGAAGAACTGTTATTTCTGTCAATAATCACTAGGTTCTTCCCGGCAAAGTGGCTAGGAAGGAGGTCCTACATTATTTTTACAGGCTTAAAAAAAGCCCACCTAAGACTATTTAAATTATCCTAAGCCTCCACTGTGAATATTTTCACTCACAGGACTTTGGAAGTTCGAGTTCCTCTCCCCTCCCTGCCCTGCTTCCCGGCATGGCGGTGGGGAGAGCTGGCCTGAGAGAGTCGGGCTGTGGAGGAGCCTGGGGGGCTGCACATCACTCCTTAGGAGGTCTCTGGTCCCCCAACTCTGCAGGGTTGGCCCTTCAGGTTCTAGAGCTCAGCCAGCTCTCGCTGCCCGGGACCATGAGTCCAGGGAGCTGCGCCCCACCGAACACCCCAGGAGGCATTTGGGAGCCCTGTGGGGCATCAGGGCACAGGTGGGAAGAGGAAGCTCCACCTCCCGTCACCTGCCAGCGGCAGGCGGCTGTTCCCACACTTCAAGTGCAAGGATCCTCAGCCCCTCCAGCTCCTCACTTTCTAACTGCGAACAGAGCTCCTCCTGTATCCCCGATCCTTCTGCATCCGAGATCCCCCCATAACTTCACTCCTCATTTTTCCACCGGAGACCACTAGACAGTCCCATTCTGGTTAGAGCTGCCCTGAGTCACGCTGTCGCAGCTAAGGTGGGGGTGAGGAAACATGCCACGTCCCACCTCCTTGGGAAGCCACACGAGTCACTGAGGCCTCGGGGGGCCCGCAGTCAAGGCACCCAATGTGCTGCCAAGTTCTTCGATATGAGAACCCCTCTTTTTGGCCAAGGAGCCTACAGATATGCGGCGGGACCGATGTTCTCCCCCTGTGGGGGCCGCTGGTGCTGACCCCGCTCTCGGCCGCTCCCACAGAAATGCAGGCGACCGCTGAGCTTGCTGGCCCTGCAGGCATGCGTGGCCCCGCACCCGCCCGCCGTGCAGCCCCTGCTCTGCCTGCTCTGCGGTGGGCCGGGCGCATGGAGGTGGACACGTGCCCATGCGGCTCCGTGCTGACCTTTGCACGTCTTCCCGTCGGGCTGCAGCGTGAAGCCAACCGGGCAGCTGCATCGCACTCCGGTGGCCGTGTCCTTGCACGTCCGGTCACAGCCTCCATTATTTACTGCACACGTCTCTGTTACAGACATGCTCAGTTTCCTCAGACAGAGGCCACCCCCGTCCCTACCCACGGGGCACCTCCTGAGACAGGAAGCCTGAGTTCAAGTTCTGGCTCTGTGGGTTCTCTGAGCCTCACGCTCCCCATCTGTAAAATGAGAGGACTCTGGCCCCACGGGGTTGCTGCTAAACACCCATGATGGTCATGATGGACGGGAGAACTGTTTGCAAACTGCAGCGCGCTCTGCTTATGTAGAAATTACTGTCGACAGGGTCGCTACCACCACTAGGGCCAGTGCTGAGATCCGCCTGGCTGGTACTTAATCGCCCAGGCCAGATTCCCGAACCTCTGCCCTGCCTGGCCTCACACTCCAAACTCAGACGGGCACTCTCTGGGGCTCCTGAACTCATCTGAGCACTGAATGGCCTGTGGCCCTAGCCGTAGGGGAGGTCCTCGGAGCCCGCACACCATCCATCACCTCGATGAGGCTCTCAGCCCAACATCTGTTCTTACTGAATGATATGCCAAAGGCGTCTGGTTTTTGTCCACTTGAAGCTTGTCTAGGGCCTTTTTTCCCCCCTCTTTTGCAAAATCAAAGGGGCTGAAGTGGCTGGGGCATAACTGAGGTCACTGAACCTGTCGTGTGGTGAGAGTGATCCTCCCCAGGCCTGCAGAAGGGGCCGGCAGAACCGGGTCACCAGGGTGCAGGTGGCCTGCACACGGAGGACCCAGGTCCTGGACCCCTGAGCCTTTCGATCTGGGTTTCTTTGAGTGCCTGGTGAGCTTTGGCCTCGTGGGACCTGCACCTGCGTGGGCTCCCTCTTCTCCATGAGCCCATGGGCCCTGCTCTTCTATAACCTGAGGCCCCTGCCTGCCTACCCAGCTCTCCTGAGAGTCTGGCCCTGGACGGCCTTTTCCTTAAGGTTCCCCGGATAATCGTCTGTCCCTCTGTGGTGTCTGGTTGCGGCAAGCCGCCTTCCGTTCTCTCTGGGAGGAGTCTGAGGATGAACGAAGGAGTGACGACTGAACGAATACATACCCCCAGCTGCCAGGAGTCCCTGCTGCTACTTAGACCACAATCATGGTGGCTTCCCTTTGAACTTGGACTTGTGAGAGGTGGGCAGGGCTGGGAGGGGAGGAGAGCTCTTGCCCTGTGCGTGTGTGAGGTGAATCTCTGATTCCTGGGGTGGCTGTGCTGGTGTACTGAACCGGGGGCTGCCTGATGCAGGTGACCAACTTCTGAGACTAACGTCTTCGCCATGACAGGAGATGCGACTATTGCTGTAAGAGTCTCCCTGCCCCCGCCCGCTCCTGGCCTGTCTTCCGGGGCGTCTCCGCAAGCCTTGGCCTTTCAGCTGTGTGTGGCGGCTTCTGTGAGCCTCCCCGCCCTCGTGTGCTGGCCTGGTGGCTTGAAGGCCTTCTGCCTGCTCATGTGTCAAGGCCCATCTCAAAGACCGCCTCCCCAGACACAGGAAAAAGCCCTTTCCCTGTACTCATGCAGGTTGGCCTCTGCGTTGGCATGGGCCAAGTTCTGACCGGCACACGGCCCGCTCACGCCCTCTTGTCTTGCCACTGGACCGACTACTTGGGCAGTGGCGCTGGGCAGGCCAAGGGTAAATCCCAGCTCCGTCACTGAGTGACCCAGGTCGGTCACCCCTTGGGGCTGGACCTCAGCTCCCACACCTGGCAGATGAGGATGACAAGCCTTCTCTTCTAGGGCGGACACGATCAAATATACCGTCCACTCACCAGCACCTGGCCCAGGTCCTGACCCGTCATACTTGCTTAACAAATATTAGCTCTCCTGGGGCTACAAGCCGAGGGGGAAAACTCATCTCTCGCCCCAAATCGAGGAGCTAACGTACATCTGTAGGTGCCGTTCCAGCAGGATGACCAATGGGCCTCGTCACGGTGGTGGGGGTGGGTGTGGTGTGGGCATTGGGGGCTGTGATCCTGAGACATGGGCCTGGCCAGACAGGCTCCAAGGGTCTCGGAGGCCTTCCCTGTCTCTAGAGGCCCTGGGGGCCTCAAAATCTTGGTCCTACAGAGTGGTGGGCCTCGGGGACCTGCTGGCCACCTGCCCACTGGGTGGATGGAGGCTGAGAGGGGGCTGAGGTCACGTCTGGACGGCCGCCCCCTTTCTGGGCCCACGGCACAGCCTCTCCTGCCCCAGACAATGGTGGGCACCTAGACTTCAGGTTTTAAGCGAGGGGCTGTGGGCCCCTGGGGGCTGACTACCCCATCCCTTAGCTCATTACTGGGGGGTCGCTTGCACCCGGCCTGCCTCAGCTTTCCAGGCCTTCGTCCCCACACTCACAGCAGATCTGTGAGATGGCTTCTGTGCCCCCCGCCCCCTGGTGAGGAGCAGCCCAGAGGAATCTGCCCAGAGCTGTGTGGCCAGTAAGTGGCAGAGCTGGTAGGACTCGCCACTCTAGCTCCAGCCCACAGGACAGCTTCACATATCCGGCTCCAGCCCTCCCTGGCCCCGGGGCTGCACAGCCCAGCATGCACTGGACGGTCCGCTGCCCCCGCCACCCACCCCACAGTGCCTCGTCCAGTGCCCCGTCTTCACCCCCAGGCCTCATCCTAGGAGGTGCCCTCCCCCCTCACCTGGGGCCCAGGGCCTGGTCTGGCTACTTCCTTGACATCTGATTCCGGCCCCTGCTCTCACTGCTGCCCTTCTAAGCCAGGTCACCAGTGTCTTCCTATATGGCCTTCCTGGCCTCTCAGCGAGCCCTCCTCCTCCAGACAGAGGCCTTGCTCTGGGGAGCCAGTGGCCTCAAGCTGATGTAGCAGCGCTGAGAGCCAACACTCAGGGCGGGCCTTCCCTGCCAGGCCCTGTGCTGGGAAAGGAGAGCGGAATGAGCAAGCAGCAACCAACCGGTCCTCAAGGTCACCCTCATGGGGACCCTGGCAGGCTGCTGCATCTGCCTGGGCCCCCAGGACCCCTACAGCACAGGGTTGGTCGTTTCTGCCATGCCCACATTAGCTGTATCGCTCTCAGGTGAACAGACACTGGACTCAAGTCTACAGCTACAGGACAGGGTGGCCTGGGTGGGACCAAGGGCCTTGTCTATGGCGGTTTCGAAGTAGAGACTTCTTGGGTGCTGCTAAGAAGGATCCTCGCCTTGCATGGCAATCGGCCTGCGCCTGTGCCCCGATTCCCATCTCTGAGTGCCTCAGAGAGCAGCCTCACCTCCCCGTTCATTCCCCAAGACAAGGGGCCACCCAGGCCTGGCATTAGGTCACTGCTGCCTCCGATTCAGAAACCAGGCATCCTGTCCTCTCCCTTGACGACAAATGCAAGCAGCAGATGTGAGCCGGGACTGCGGGACTGGCATCTCTGGCTTGGGAGGGGTCAGGGAAGGGGGTTTGTCCTAGCTTCCACCCCCTCCCAGGGCTAAGGGTGGGTGTGGTTCTGTGGGCAGCCCCTACCTAGAAGCACACACTGGGAATGGAGGCGCAGTCCAGCTGCCACACTCTGGAGCGCTGTCCCATAGACCTGAAAACATCCTCCTGGGCCCTCCCTGGGAGCCAGCCCTCCAGGCTCTCCCTGAAGCCGCGTCCCCATGAGAGCCACCAGCCCTTTGTAAAGTCTCCCCTCTCCACCTGGGGAAGCAAGGGCAACCACCACCCAGGGCACAGCCCTCCACAGTTGACAAAGCACCTTCTCATGCACTAGCGCCCACGGGCTCACAGCAGCCCCAGAAGGGGACCCTTTCACAGACAGGGAAACTGAGGCTCAGAGAAGCCAAGTAACTTGTCCAGGCAGGATCAGTGACATAATCTGTGGGACCCAGCGTGAAATAAAAATGAAAGTCCCTTGTTCAAAAATTAAGAATTTCAAGATAGACAGCAGAGCGTTCAACCACGCGTGGGCTTTCCTAGGGCGGGGCCCCGGGCCAGCGCACCCGTCACATGCCTGTGAGGCGGGTCTTGGGTCCCGGACCACACAGCTGTTGGGAGGAGTGGTATCTGGACCCAAGACTGTGAGGCTCCAGGCTGATGAGTGAGCCAGACTGGGCCAGAGAGCCAGGCCCATGACAGGAACCCTGAGGGGTGGCTCGCGGCGAGGCAGCAGCAGAGTGGGGCCCGAGGAGGTGGAGACGTGCGCCCAGGGTGCCTGACCTCCTCACCCACCGAGCGGGGAGAAGGCTCTCCCACAGGGCGGGGCTAGCAAGGCAAGGAGGCTGGGCATACGTTGAGGTCTAGAGTGGGCCCAGGAGCAAACCCCCCTGCAGCAGGCAGGAAAACCCCAAATGTGTTAAAAGGCTGGTCTTTGGTCCTTCTCTGAGGGACCCCCGCTTTGGGCCCCCTGGACACTGAGGTGGAGCGGTCACTAAGCAGGCTACTCAGCTGGACCTGCCGTGAAGCTGCGACAGGGTTTGGACAGAGGGCCTAGGTGGAGGACGGCAGGATGGCCTTGGAGTTGGCGTGGCCTGCTCGCCCTGCCCTGGGTCTGGGAGGTCCGGCAAGGCCCGTGAAGGACAGTCTGTCGCAGTGGACGGAACAGGGGCTGCGCGGTCAGAAGGCAGGCTCCACGCGCGGGCCCCGGGATCCCGGCCAGTCCCTTCACTTCTCAGAGTCTGAGTTTCCTGACGTGCGACGCAGAGACAATAACATTTACCACGCGTTTCTCGCAAGGCCCAGAAAACGTGCGGACATGGCGGTGCTTTGAAAACTGTCGTAACCGTGACACATGCTCGCTCACGGTGCCATTTCTTAGAACCTGTGCACGTGCAGCCCTAGACCCACAGTCGGCTGCCGAGTCAGTCATCAACTGTTTGCTGAGCTCCTGCTCCGTGCTGGGCAGACGTGTCCCCAACACAACCCGTCTCCTGGAGGCCGGAGCCCCGCAGGGCAGCGGGGCGGGGGGGCACCCCTCGGCCTAACCAAGTTCGGGAATGGCTCCTTGGGGCTGGGTGGCCGTGAGAGGGGAGCTAGAGGAGAAACGTACACTGACCAGGCCTCGGGCGCAAGACAGAACGGGGCGCAGAGCTCGCCTTTCCTGCAGGGCA